TCAGAGGCAGAGGCAGGTGGATCTCTGTGAGTTTGAGGCCAGCCTGGTCTACAGAGTGAGTTCCAGGACAGCTGAGGCTACACAGAGAAGCCCTGCCTTGGAAAACCAAAAAGTAAATAAAAAGTCCTAGCCACTCTGCCCTCTTGAGTGGGTCACATAACACTTTACTTTTGAGACATATGCCCAGGCTGCTCTCAGTTTCCATATGTAACCAGGGTGATCCTGAACTTTGATCGTCCTGACTGTGTCCCTCAACTGTAGGATTACAGGTGTGTACCACCACACTTAGTTTTTCTCCCTTAACTCTTGCCCAAAGCCTAGACGTGGAGGACTTTCTGTGATACAAGCTTGAACTGGGCTGTCTCACATGCTAGTCACATGGCCGATGCCCAGATCCTGAGACCAGGATCCCACAGCTCCCAGCAGCAGTCACAGAATGGCTGGATATGTTCTCTGGAGCAGAGTGAGGGCACCTTTACAAACTAACCCGCAAAGTTTACACATAAAGAGGCTACATGAGTGGTTGACTGTGTTGGGTTTAACCCAGGATTTCTAGGCTGGTACGATGGCTCAGAGGGTAAAGCTGTCATGAAACACAATGACAAAAACAAGCTGGGGAGGAAAGGGTTTATTTGGCTTAAGCTTCCAGATCACAGTTTATTGTCAAAAGAAATCAGAACTCAAGCAGGCCATGGAGGATGTTGCTTACCGGCTTGGTCCTCATGGCTTGTTCAGCTTGCTGTCTTATAGAACCCAGGAACACCCCCAGTAGGGCTAGGTTCTCCTTCATCAACCACTAACTAAAAAAAATGCCTCAGTCCAACCTCTGTGTGTGTGTGTGTGTGTGTGTGTGTATGTGTGTGTGTCTTTCTGTCTGTCTCTCTGCGTGCGGTTTTTCAAAACAAGGTTTTTCTGTGTAACAGTCTTAGCTGTCCTGGAACTCACTCTGTAGATCAAAATGCCCCATAGGCTTGCCTACAGTCCAACCTCATTGAGTGTGTGTGTGTTTTCAAGACAAGAGTTTTCTGTGTAGGGGGCTGGAGAGATGGCTCAGTGGTTAAGAGCATTGCCTGCTCTTCCAAAGTTCCTGAGTTTCATTCCCAGCAACCACATGGTGACTCACAACCCTCTGTAATGAGGTCTGGTGCCCTCTTCTGGCCTGCAGACATACACACAGACAGAATATTGTATACATAATAAACAAACAACAACAACAAAAAAAGAGTTTTCTGTGTAACAGCCTTAACTGTCCCGGAACTCACTCTGTAGACCAGGCTGGTCTTGAACTCACAGAGATCTGCTTGCCTCTACTTCCTGAGTGCTGGAAGTAAAGGTGTGCGCCACCACACCTGGCTCCATAGTCTAGTCTTACTTTTCTTTTTTTGAGACAGGGTTCTCTGGGTAGCCCTGGATGTCCTGGTACTCTATAGACCAGGCTGGCATCCAACTCAGAAATCTGCCTTATTATCTACTTTTTAATTTTTATTTATTCATTTTTGATTTTTCAAGACAAGGTTTCTCTGTGTAACAAACAGCTCTGGCTGTCCTAGAACAATTTGTAGACCAGACTGGCCTCAAACTCACAGAGATCCGCTTGCTGGGATCAAAGGGTTGTGATACCACCACCAGCCTTAGAGGCATTTTTTTTTTCAGTTGATATTCCCTTTTCTCTGATGACTCTAGCTTGCATGAAGTTGACATAAAACTAGCCAACACAAGGTACTTGCCGTCAAACCTGATGATATGAGTTCAATCCCCCAAATCTACACAAACATGGAAGGAGGAAACCTACTCCTACAAGCTGTCCTCTGATCTCTAGCACACACACTGTGGCACGTGTTGCCCCCAACAACATGCACACATACAACAAATAAACACATTCATAAACAATAAATGCAAAAAATATTTCCAACCTTTTCCTTGCAATTAAATTGAGGACATCTGGGGCTGGAGGTGGCTCAGTGGTTAAGGGCACTGTCTGCTCTTCCAGAGAGGACTTGGGTTTGATTGCAATACCCACGTGGGGGTTCAGCCAAATGTAACTCCAGTTCTGGGTTTCCAAATCCCCCTTCTGGTCTGCACACACATAGTGCACAGGTATACATGCAAGCAAAACACTCACACACATTTAAAAAAATAAAAATGAGGACATCTCCGTCTTTATTTCTGGCAACAGAGGTTGGAACCCGCCGCCTCCCAAGCTCCTCAGGCTACAGTCGCAGCCCAGGAGTTTCTCTTCCGTTCCTCACTCCTCCCTGTATCTCTGGGGCTCCAGGCTTCTTTTATCCAAACCCATCTCACGTGATCTTTCAGACCGGTTTTCTGGCATTGACTTAGCAAGCCCTAAGGTTTGCACGTCCGGAGGGGTGGGGAGATGTCTGTGTGTGGGCTCAGGCCTCTGTTGTAACCACTGGTCAGCTCCTCCCAGGTGTCCGTAGGTGGACAGGCACGACAGCGCTAGCCCAGCTGTAGACGAGAGGCACACACTATTGCTGGACCCCACATCCTCACCTCTCCTATCCTAGTTCCAGCTGGTTCAGTCCTCTTCTGCCCACTTCCTCTTGAGCGCCTTCTCCACCTTGTCCCGGCTAGGTTTATGTCAGCTTGACACAGGGAGCCATCTGAGAGGAGGGAACCTCAACTGAGAAATTGCCTCCACCCAAGACTGGGCTGCAGGCAAACCCATACTAATTAGTTATTGGTGGTGGGGGAGGGCCCAGCCCACCGTGGGTGGTGCCATTCCTGGGCTGCTGGTCTTGCATTGTGTAAGAAAGCAGGGGAGCAAGCAATGAGGAGCAAGCCAGTAAGCAGCATCCCATGGTCTCTGCATCAGCTCCTGCCTCCAGGTTCCTGTCCTGTTTGAGTTTTTGCTTTGGCTTCCCTCAGTGAACTGTGATTCGGGGTATGTAAGCCAAATAAACCCTTTCCTTCCCAAGTTGTTTTGGTTGTGGTGTTCCAGCACAGCAATAAAAACCCTGACGAGGACAGACATTGCTACCATGGACTAAAACCACGAGCCCAAGTCAACCTTACCTTTCTTGTTTTCCTTTGCTATTTTGTCACAATAAAATACAAGCAACTTAGCGCAGCATCCCGCTGTTCTGAGACAGTTCCGTGGGGTGAGCAGTGCATGGAATTCCCACATCCTGGGGCTGGATGTTTGGTGGTGCACATCTTTAACCCCAGTGGTGAATTTCCATTTGTTCCACAAACAACCAGGGCTGTGTAGAGAGACCCTTTCTCCAGAATGAAGGAAGGAAGGAAGGGAGGCAGGAAGGAAGGGAGGAAGGAAGGAAGACCTGAGGAAGCCGATGCTGTTCCTGTTCTGTTTTACAGGGAGGACTGCTGAAACAGGGGGATCAGAGATGTGCCTACACTCACACATTGGCAGGGTCTTGTAGGCTAGAAAAAGCAAGAGCTATGCATCCCCTCCACAGTCCAGCCAGTCCACACTGGAGGCTGATCTATACAGCCAGGAGGATCTGCTCTCTTTGGAGCCACGGAGCTTGTGGTTTGTCCATCACAGTGACAAGTGAGTCCATTAGGGGTATATATGTCTTTCATTAGTTGCTCAATGCTACAGTGCCTGTTTGTTTGTGTGTGTTTGTGTGTTTACTTTACTGTCTGTGTGCCTGTGTACATGTGGCACAGTGTGCACATGGAGGTGACAGCGTGACAAAGACTCTTCTCCTTCTATCACGTGGGGCCCAGGGACTGAACTCAGCCTATTGGCAGGCACTGTTTATTACCGTTGAGCCATCTTGACAGCCTCCCAATTTTTTTTTTTTTTAAATTTGAGACAGGGTTTCACCCTGTAGCTTTAGCTGTCCTGGAGCTCACCCTGGAGATGAGGCTGACCTCAAACTCACAGAGATCCACCTGCCTCTGCCTCCCGAGTTCTGGTGTGTGCTGTCACTGCCCGACACCAATTATTTTCTGAAACAGGGTCACACGTAGCTCAGCCTAGCTTCAAACTTATTATGTAGCTGAGGATAACCTTGAACTTCTAGTCTTTTTTACAAGCCCAGTTCAGCCAGGCCCTTTACCAACTGCACTCTGTTCCCAGTCCCCAGTTTGCACATCTGGAAAAGTGGGAAGAGTAAGGTTAGGTCTTTCGGATCATTCCGTGACTGAGCCAGGGCAGGTGTGTGCTGTGTACGGTGAGAGTGAGGGGCCTAATACTGGAACCCGTCTGCAAACAGTTAAGAGTCACATGACTAAGAAATTGTCAGGGCTGGAGAGATGGCTCAGTGGTTAAGAGCACTGGCTGTTCTCCCAGAGGTCCAGAGTTCAATTCCCAGCAACCGCGGGTGGTGGCTCACAACCACCTATAATGGGGTCTGATGCTCTCTTCTGAGATGCAGGTATACATGCAGAAAGAGCACTTGTGTACATAAAATAAATAAATCTTAAAAAATAAAAATGGCAATAGGGCGATGGTGGTGCACACCTTTAATCTTAGCACTCGGGAGGCAGAGGCAGGCGGATCTCTGTGAGTCTGAGACCAGATTGAGTTCCAGGACAGACAGGGCTACACAGAAACACCCTGTCTTGAACCCCACCCCCCACAAAAAAAGAAGAAATAAACTGTTGTCTTATGGTTACATGTATCTAGGCTGAGAACATAGCATCTGGACCCTCAGGTGTCAAGAAAACAGGGGAGAGCTCACTCTGCTTGCTTTCACTGGGGAAGTTCAGAGGTTCCAAGAGCAAGGGCCCCAAGCCCTTACGGATTCTAACTTCTGAAACTTTGAGTTCCCACTAAATGCTTTCTTTCAGAAGTTGCCTTGGTCATGGTGTTTTATCAAAGCAACAGAAAAAGTAACTAAGACATGTGGGATACTGAGAATAGGGGGTACAGAGCAACTGACAGCCTGTGACTTTCTTCCCCAGCCCCTGCAGTCAGCTGGACCCTGGCCTTTGCCTGTTCTACACCCTCAGCTGGCCCCATGGGGAGGGCGGAGCTGGTTGCTAAGGTTTCAGGTGGTGTGGATCCGGAAGCAGGAAGTAGTGTGAGTTTCCAGGACCCTGTGCCTACCTGGGTTGGGGTAGAGGGCACCACCAGAGGCAGGTGGGGAACTGGAAGAGGCCTGGCTAGGGAGAGAGAAGGTAAAGGGATGGTGGGTGGGTAGAGGCTGCCAGGTAAGGGTCAGTGGGGTGGGGGTGGGACGCTAAGGGCCAGCGGAGGAAAGGGAGCCAGCAGGTCTGAAAGGAGATGGTGGAGAGAGGTGTGACAGGGAAGGGAGGGGGTGCTGGGTCAGGAGCAGAGGGAGCAGGAGGCGGCGGGAGGGCTCACAGAGCAGAAGACAGGGTCTTCCTAGGGTATGGTCGAGGAGGTTGTGATGACCTGAGGTGGCCCTTTGGGGGCTGGGGCAGGTAGCCAAGATGGTACAGTCAGCTGAGGAGCTGAAGCAGGAGCTGGAGGCCACTGCAGAGGAAGTACTGGGGAGGCTCAAGAGCCACCAGCTGTTCCAGTCTGAGTGGGACATCGCAGCCTTTGTGGTCTTTCTCACATTTGTGGGTGAGTGTGGCTCCTGATCGCAGGCTCGACCCTGGGGTTGGAACAGGGCCACATCTGGATGCCTGTCTGTCTGGTCCCCAGGCACTGTGGTGCTGTTGTTGTTACTGGTTGTTGTTCACTGCTGTTGCTGCTGCTGCTGCACCACCTCCCCTAGACCCCGGAAGGTGAGCCCTGGGAAGGTAAGCCTGGGAAGGGGTGTCACTCAGGAAGGAGAGCTCCTATAGCAGCCTCTTAAGTGGGACAGGCAGGGGCAGGCTCTTCCGCAGAGGGTTTAGGCAGAGCTTCGGAGTGTTACCCACAGGGCTTCTCTGTCTCTCTTGCAGGAAAAGCCCAAGGGTGTGGATAACTTGGCCCTGGAACCTTAATGCTAGACCTTGGCATGGGTCCTGCTGGATGACAGTAACAAAGCCAATTTTGCCAAAGCCTGAGTCTGGACTGTGTTCTGACCCCGCCATGGCTCTGTCTTGGACGCAGGGCCTGGACTCCCAGGCTGACATCTGTCACTCTCCCACGGGGCCACTCTGCAGCCAGGGGTCCCTTTCTCAAATGTGTGTTCTGCCTGGGCACTGGCTGTGATGCCATCACTAAAGAGGCTGAGGCAGGAGGAAGGCAAACCCCAGGTCAGACTACTTCCAAGGGCTTGACATGGTGTTGAGTGGGGGAAACCAGGTGATAGGAACATGGGAGGCCACTGATCAACCAGGGTCCTTCGACCTAGTTCCACTAAGCAGAGACAGACAACAGCACTCAAGTCAAAATCTGACCTTTATTTCTTAGCGGTGGGTTGAGGTCACAGGCTACCTCCCGCTGCCTGGGTCCCTCTTCCTCCCTGCACGTCATAGCTCAGCGTCAACCCCCCATCCTTCTCTAATGGGAGCCGAGAGAGTGGGAGAGAGGAGAGCCCTGGCCCCACCCTTAGTCCAAAGGTTCCCAGAGTGTCCAGAAAGGCAGGGTTAGGACCATGGCCACACCTCAGCCCACCTACTTGACTGCCCTCCCCCATCATAACAACCAGGTCGGCACCCCTTTCTCTAGGTGCCTCTAATGTTTGCTTCCAGCAGTGCAAATGTGTCCTAGGGTGGTGAGAAGGGAGAGCCTGACAGTGACAGGCATCACAGGGGGTATGTGTTGGGGACTCCAGGAATCCTGGGAGGAGGATTCCGGCAGGTGCTTGCTCAGAAGGGCCGGGAGCTCCAGTAGCTGGAAAACACAGAGATCTGCAGAGGGTGGGGGTATGGTCAACAACATGTGTGGCTTCAGGGGGTATGGTCAGTGGGGCGCTATACCCCCCAGAACCCAGGTACGATGTCAAGGTTACAGAATGGGCTCATGTCTGGGAACTGCTGCCAATGGGCTTTACGACTTGGGGGCACTTAAGTATGACGCGGCTTCTGAGTGGCCTTCCCTGCCCCAGATGCCCCGACACACCTTATCCTTGAGCTGCTGGCAGAGCTGCAGGGAGACAGTGAAGTACACCAGGGCGTCATTGAGCCAGGGGATCACGCATTCTACCTTGTGTACATGGCTCACCTCTAGGCGCTGGGAGCCCCATTCACTGGGGAAAAATGAAGTGGATCCCTGAGAGTAGGCCTGGACCCCAGATGCAGAGGGCAGGAGAGAAAGGGCTCTAGGACATCTTGTGGTGTACTTACAACATGGCCCCAGGGCTGTGCAGCACTGCACCTCCAGAGGGGCGGAAGTTCTAGGCAGAAGCAGCACAGTCCGTGAGGCTTGGGTGGAGAGTTCTCAGCAGGGCTGGTGTGGGGGCATTGGGACGCGGGGAGAGCTTTACCTTAGTGGAGGTGGGCTGCAGGGCGTGCAGTTGGTACACGGTGAGACATAGCTTGTTGAGGTTGATGTAGACATTGACCAGCAGGTCAGAGGGTAGGGTAGGCGCAAACATCCGCTGGGGGAGGGAGGAAATAGGAGGGGAGAGGAGGAATAAGGCCCTCTCCCACTTTAGGCTGGACCACTACAAGGTATGAATTATCTATGTGGGGGGGGGTGGGGCACTAGAGGCTCCCCACCTGTCTCCATAATCTCCATGTGCTGCTAGGATGGAAGCCACTGGCTGAAAACTGGGTTAACATAATTGGGGGCCAAGAACTGAACCCAGAAATCTGTCCCCAGGCACAGAACTCCCACTGGCTGTGTTTCTCAGAAGGGACGTCTCTCTTGGGGCAGAGGCTACCTGAGGTACTAACCGTGAGGCCGCTGGCAGCAATCTCAGGCAGGGTGAGGGTGGCTGGGGTAGTGAGCCGGTTTCTGGCTCTCGTCAGCTGCAGCATCACAGCATCCATGAGCTGGGAAGGGGCAGGTCATCACTGCTACTAGAGCGGTAGCAGCTGGGGTCCCTTGTGTCTCACCCCCTAGCATCAGTCAGCAATATCTGTAGCTTCTACTCCTGCCAGGTGACCATGGTTCCCAGGCCTAAACTCTGTAACCCCAGGAGGGGTGCTTGCCATTCTGAGGGTCTACCATCTGGGGTGGGGGGTCTTAGAAAAAAGCTAGAGTCCTGGGCATCTGACAGCTGTCCTCACATACCATGTGGCCTTGTTCTGTAACAGGATTTTACTGCCACTACCACTGCAATACTAACAGGTAGATATGGGTAAACAGGGCACTTCACCAGGTGTCCCTGCAGGTGAATTTTTAACATGTGAGCAAATGGGGGCTCACAGTAGCAAAGAACTTAAGGTTGCACATCTTATGTCAAGGTCTGGGGACTGAAACCAGGCCTGATACTGCAATCCAGGTTATCAACCAATAACTGTGGCCAGACCCATGAGCAATGACTGGGAAAAGGCAGCTTCTCGTGAAGCCTGGGGACATGAGGCTAGCGTTGTTTGGAGTAAGGGGGTGGGACAACAGGAGTCACCTTGAGGACCTCGGCTCCTGTCTTGAACTGGTAGCTCTCATCCCGGTTTGCCAGGAGGTAAATGGCTTGGCTCACGTGGTTTCTGGCATCCTGGATCTGGGAAGAGCCCCCCACCACCCACAAAACCAAAGTCTATTAGTTTCAGGATAGCCACATTTCTGAGTTCTCAGCCTGTTCCCATAACACAGGACCTCACTTGATGGGCTAACCTCTCAGAAGAAAGTATCATCTATGGTCACAAAACCCTCCAGAGCTATAGTCTTTGAAGCTGGATGACCAGGCCCTGGATATTCCTGACCAAGGCACACTGGCTCTTGGCCCTGTGTCACAAACGGCTCGACACAGACAACCCCTAGTACACTTACAAATGAGCCTGCAGTGCTCAAGGAGGAAATAAGCAAGGTTAGGAGAGACCTTACAGGATCGGGTGGTGGTGGTGCACGCCTTTAATTCCAGCAGATCTCTGCATTCAAGGCCAGCCTGGCCGGCAGAGAAACTTCAGGACAGCTAGGGGTGTACAAAGAAACTGTCTCGAACCCCGCCCCCAACACAAAAAAACTGAAAACCCACAGAAGCAGGAAAGGGTAAGGCTCCAGACAGAGCAGCACACACAGGCAAAAGCCCTGGGGTAGAAGCCAGTTTCAGATCAGGGTGTGTGTATTCATGCCCACATGTGGCCTATGGACTATGGGTAGGCAGGAGACCTGTGTATGATCCCAGGTACATGGGAAGCCCCTTTGGAGTAAGTGGCATTCAAAGGGACCTTCAGCTGTCCTCACGTGGTCAAAGTTACAAAGGTAGGGCCAGTTTCACATCCGTCATGTGGAGCAGACACTAGGGTCCCAAAGCACCACCACTGCAGTTCTGCTACCAAACAGTCTCCTATGTTTGCTGTGGTCACCAAGTCCCTACAGCTAGACTTCCCCGTGAAAGGCAATCCCAGGGAGGCCTTTTCCTGCTCAGGGGCCTGAACCAGGGTTGGGCAATGGGCCTCACCTGCTGTAGCTTCCATTGCTTGTCCTCCCGGAAGGCAAAGTGTAACAGCTGGTTGTTCCGAGGCATCTTCAAGTTCACATCCTATGGGCCAGGGTGTGATAAGCAGACAAAGGTACCCCTGTCCTCCCTGAACCCCGGGAACCAGGAATGCAGTAGATGGGTGGCTGAGGGCCCATGTACTTGGGGGTTAAGGGAAAAAGATGTCTAGAAACAGGAACTCAGGTCCCACAAAGCAGTGAAAGGGGAAAGCAGCTGAGAAAGGGGAAGGTCTTAAGAGGAGGGAGTGTTGTAAGATCAACACAGACAGGGATTATCCCCCAGGCCTTGAGGCTTTGCATAGTCCATAGCTCAGATGTCGACTTAATTTTGATCCAGGGCCAGGCTGCCTAGGCTGCCAACACTCACATTTCACAGGGTCCAGATGTCAGGCCACCCACTCCTTCCCACCCTCCCAAACAGGATTTTTCTGTGTTACAGCCCTGGCTGTCCTGGAACTAGCTCTTGTAGACCAAGTTGACTTCAAACTCAGAGAGATCTGCCTGCCTCGGCCTCCTGAGTGCTGGGATTAAAGGTGTGCACCACCACCACCTGGCTAAGCCACCCACTTCTTGTGCCTTGTTGAATCTAAATGCCTGTCTCATGAGGTAGTGTTAGGGTTGCCTGACAAGTTACAGACATACAAGGAAACAGGGCCAGAGAGCACAAGGGTCCTACCCAGAGTCATGCAGCTAGCTGGTGGCAGAGCTAAGAGGCCATCACGGTCCTCGTCACCAGCAGCACTGTTAGGGAATAGGGCCCGGGGGACTCACCGCCTGGCTGAGGGCATCCCCTTGCAGAGTCAGCACACCCTTCACCTGGTCTGTGCTATAACACACAGGAGTCAGAGGTACCTGCTACTGTCCCCTCCCCTGCAGGCCGCTTCATAGTGCCACAAACATTTCCTCCCCCAGGTACTCCAAAAGTGCCCTCCCCAAAGTTCCTGCCCAACCCAGCTTACCCACAGCTGCCCAGGATAAAGTTCTCCTGCTTGGTAGGTCCCTCTGTGCTGGGACCTGGGAGAGTGAAGCGGAGAGAGGCCTCCTGTGGAAGACAGGGCAGTTCCAACACCCCATTCTGAGGCCCAGATATGTTGCCAAATTAGCCAGGGAAAGGACAAGGTGGGCAGGCCTGACTTGGCTCATCTGCCTTTGCCCTACGAAGCCTTCAAGCCTCTGTGAACTCAGACCTGTTCGTTCCATGGACTGCCTTTGCCCTACGAAGCCTTCAAGCTTCTGTGAACTCAGACCTGTTCGTTCCATGGACTGAGTATCGGGAGCTGCCAGGTAGGAACACGGAACAGAGAGGCACAGTACCCAGCTACTGGAGCACTGTGATCCGGTGCTGGGAGCAGAGGCAGGGAACCATTCAGTAGCCATAGTAACGTGCTTTCCTAGGTCACCGTGCTAGGCATTTTGTGAGATGGTTTATTCATCTCCACAGTGCTCTGTGAGCCCAGCTGGTTAGGGTCAGGGATGAGGCTCACGGATGTAAATTGGCTGAGATCACACT